AGAGAGAGAGAGAGAGAGAGAGAGAGAGAGAGAGAGAGAGAGAGAGAGAGAGAGAGAGAGAGAAAGAGATTTCTGAACTTGTCGCTTTACGATGACAATAGGAATGGAAAGTATTGAGAGTGGAAATCATATCAGTCATTTCATCTACCTACTGCGGCTGTGCATTCTGCTGGGTATACCTGGCTAGCCGAGCTGAACTCCCAACCCACCCTCAACCTGCACGCCTTAAAAAAGAAAAAAAGACACAGGTTTCACTGCACTTTGTGGGGAACATATTTTGTACTAAGCTTCCGTATAACAATCAAGTACATCTCTCTGCTTTGGTTGCTGGTACGTTTTGTTTTCAGATCTTGATGATGAGGGTGCAGAGTTGCTGCAATTGCTTGGAGGGAGACAAGGGGGTAAAACTCAATTCGAGCATCTTCATGCATCCCCGGTGGATTTCAATTCTCATTTAGCTGCAGAGCGATTTATGAACTTCATTCCTGCTCTGATGAAAATTGTTAAAACAGAGAGGTGAGATCCTGTTGCCAGACCCAGGCCATCTGACTGAATGGTGGACAGGTCATTGGTTTGAATCATTATGGACCCAGCTGAATATAGTTCTGTTAGTCCCCCCCCCCCTGTTCCATAAGACCGGCCACCATGTGTATAGACAAAACCCATTCACACTGAGATGATCTGTTGCGGACTCATCCATATGAAAAGGAAAAGATGAAGGGGAAAATTATATTTGCCAACAAAGTTTAACAAACAAAGATGTTTGCAGAAAAGAGGGGAAGCCATGCTTTCTTTTCCCGTCAGAGTATGTGTGCTGAAATGATGGGAAGGGTGCACTTGAAAAATAATACAGGAGGGTGTACAGGCCCTCCGGAGATCCGGTTGGCTCTTCCTTATTTTTGTTGTTCTGTAAGGCTGCACGCGCTGAACATCAGGGTTACAATGCCGCACAGGTCAATCCTGGTTGGCTTCAAGCAGCACTGTCTACAAATGCCAACAGAAATGTCAACGGCACCTCCAATGTGTGATACCTAACAGCGAGGATCGCAACCTGATGGCATTTCTTGTGCTCATCCGGCATTCCCTGACAACATTTAAATGGATGGCCTGGATGAAGGATTTGTTCACCATTCGCAATGGAGATTTGTCTTGTATGTGGGAGACCACAGACCAGTCAGAGAACATAGATCAAGCTGTCTGCTATTCTTCTCCGACAGCCCTTCCTCATCTTCTTGTGTACATCACCATTCCAACTGCCTTTTCTATTGTCCTCTCTCTCTCTCTCTCGCTCACGCACACACACCCTTCCCACTCCCCCCCTCCCTCCGTCCCTCCTCTCCCCTCTCTCACTCTCTCCCCGCACTGCCCCTGCTCTACCGTTTCTCTGCCTCCTTGTCCTACTTATGTTGCTTCTACCTAAACTTCTCTGTGCACTCTCCCTCCCACTACCCACTTCCCCCCTTTTCCAACAGTCTTGTTCTTGTCATTGCTTGGCACGTCCTGGCATCTGCTGTCACCCTAACATACCCCCGTGCACTCTCTGGAGCTTGGTGTCTCATTCCCTCTACTCCCGGGTTGATGATCATCCAATATCGGGCAATCGATATCTTCTTCCTCATCGTTTTGTCAACCGATGTTTGAATCCTTATGTTCTCTTTCATTGTACGTGATCCTCCCTTCTCCCGGATCTTGCTGTGTTGGACTGCATGTATCTTTCTTTATCGTCATGTTCGGATCTTTTATTCCTCACCTTATCCAGCATGGTGCATGATGCTCCTGTCCTCCCCACTTCTGTCCTCCCCCATTCTGAAGGATGCTGCTTTCGTGCGCTCGTGTATCCCCTTGTATTCTGCATCATTCTCCTTCCCCGCCCTCTTGTATCTTCATCGTTCCTGCACAACGCTCAGGCTGGTAGGACTAAGAGCAGGGAGGTGTACTGGGCCAGCCAGGCCTGGATTAACGTGCCCAAGCCTGAGAGAGTCAACTGTCAGGCGCAGTCTGTCCTTGGTAGGCCAAGAGTGAAAGCTTTCTCCCAAAAGTCAAATTTGGCCACAGATCACACACCCATCTGACGGTGCAGACGAAGTTTCAGGATGAATGCATGGCTTCAGTCAAAGCGATCTATCTCCGCTGCCAGTCTATCCGTGAGACATTCTGCCTTGTGCTTGTGCACGGCGGTGAAGTAGCGTACCATGCCGCCCTACTGCCGCCACACACGCACACACACACACACACACACACACACACACACACAGACAGAGAGAGAGAGAGAGAGAGAGAGAGAGAGAGAGAGAGAGAGAGAGAGAGAGAGAGA